ATAGGTCTAATAATAAAAGCTACACTTAACCTTATTCCTTGTGTTATCTCTGGATGTTCCTCCAGAGTTTTAATCAGAGCTTTAATAGTTCCTTGAACAGGAATGTTTGGGTATATAGGCACAACATCAAAACTTACTAGCTTATCCTCTTCTGAAGGTGTCTGTTGATCCAGCAATTTCACAAAATCCTACGAATCTTTAGATGGATATAGCCAATAATTGGCGGAGTTCCTTAGTTTTATGCATAAAAACCATGGGGTTTTATGCATCACGCTTCCTTTATTATTTAAAATACAAGATTGTTTACTCATGTCGTCGATGTTATGTTGGTGATACATGCCGACCTATTAAACAAGAATTGGAAGAACACAAAAATGCTTGTAAAGGAAGCTGGATCCAACGGCATCACCTTAAGCTACATAGTTTGAAAAATGGCTTTATCTCTCCCCTTAAGGTCTGTCTAAAAGAGCTGAAATGATCCTTCTATGCATAATACAAAAATTCAACAAGCAAATAGATCTAAAATACAGGCAAGAGTGCCACATTCTTCTTCCATCTGCTTCTGGACTCGTTACTTGCTTGTTTTTGGGTACTCTTTCTACATCAAATCCGAATCGACCTTAAGCCCCGGGCACATTTTCATTTCTCAAGTTGTTAGTTGACTTCCCGGTGACTTCTCTCAAGAACTGCATTCTCCTATATACTGATCGAAAGAATAGACCTCGCCCTGGTCTCACACACATTTCCAATGGTATTCGATACTGGCGTGTGTGTGTGTGTGTGTAAGGGTAGTAAATACATTATTTACCGGAAACAGAGTTGGTGTATTACAGAGCAGATTTGACTTTCATTTAAAGTTAGTTCTTTCCCAATTTATAATTACAATGAGACTAACGCTAACAAGGCATATTATTAGTTGGCATCACACTCGACTAAGTTACTGTATATCAAACAGTTTGGTTACAAATTATTAAATATTAGTCAGCTTGGGTCACAGTATGATTTTAGCACTGATCTGGCAGATTTGAGGCCAGTACACGTAGTATATATCAACAATTTTGATATTGGTGTAGAAAGGAGCATGAGGAGATAGTTAAAAATCTCTGCAACTTTATTCTTTTTCTTCTTTTTTTCATGCTTTTCCCCTCTCAATCTCTCGAGTCCAATATCAATTCATCTGTCCGATTATCCTTAAAAACTGCAAATTATGGCTTTTACACCAACGAATGCAAGACTTAATTGAATAATTTTTTTCACTTCTGGGGCTTACTGAATCCATGCTGCTCGAAGGCCTTCTTGACAGGAATAAAACTTGTACTTTCCTTGCTCTGCAATACGCTGGATAGCCAGTCACCTTTCGAGTCCTCTTCTATCTCGTTTTGACTTCTCTCGAATCTGCTGGCACCAAAGCCGAGGGTACCCTGTCTGGCGGCAGGCCAGTCAGACCGTGCTGTCAAGGCTATATGGGCTGGCTGTTGACGGAGGAACGAAGGAAGCTGGGCAAGCAAAGCTTGCAGTTCGGCATCAAGAAGAGGCTCAGGGCCGAAACGTGCTAACCATTGCAACCTGAGGGGATGCGAGCCACTAGCGTTGCAGGAGAGACTAAGGAAATCGCGCTCGTTCCTCTTAATCTGTGCATGAGGACGTTGATGCAGTCGAGGTGGGGCTGTAAGATTTAAAGTTGTTAGGTTATAAGAAAGTATGGATGAAGCTGACAAGCTCTGCTACATAAAAGGTTGGAGAGGGAATTTTGTCAGTGGGCGCAATATTATGCTACATTAGGATTTTGCAGAAATGGAGGTCACTTTTGCCCAGCGGCTAGAAATGGGCGAAAATGAAGGCAGATTAAGTCTAAGAGATGAAAGAGAGAAGAGGTATTGTTAAGGGACATAACTACGACTATAAAAAAAGACTAACGCTGATGTGCTCATGGAAAGGAGAGATGAGCATCCTACTCATATTCAAAATTGTACAAATATTACTTTATGATATTTATCCATTACACTTGATTGAAAATAAATTTGATTTTTAAAAATCCTATTTCATAGATGGGGAATATATGAGAAGAGATAAAAGAGATGTTTTACCCTTGCTTTTGTATGTTTTCTCTAAAATGATAAGTGAACTACTTATGAATGGGAATAAAAACGTTCTTTAAGGAAACTATGACACACTCTTCAATCCACGTGGTCGCTTTTATATTGGAGAAACTTCTATTCCTATTTGATAAAGGGTGGCTGAACTGTTGGGTTCAAAAATCTGAACTAGGGGAGCTCACGTCAGAGACTGAACATGACATTTAATTATCTCAAACTCGTCGTTTTGCTAATTATGCTATAAAATTAGAGGCAATTAAAATAAACCAGGCAGGCAGCACAATAAACGTCAGGAATGCCCG